ACCCCGTGCGGTGAGTTAAAACTCTGCCACACCCTGGGGCAGCAGGGATCCAGGAGGCCCGGCCCGTCTGCCTAGCAGGTTCCTGTAACGTGTGTTCGTCTGGAGCGTGTAAGGAAAGGCAAGTGGTGCACTGCGGTAGGATACAGGGATGACCTTTTCTTGTTCCTCAAGAACACCTTTGACCCCAGCAAAGTGATCCCTCCGGGGGGAACTGGAAAATGGCTCTAGCAGTTGGTGGTGAAAAGTTCCCATTCATCCCTGCTCAGGGTTTGGACACCCATTCGCTCCCTTCTGGGCAGTGTCAGACGTGAGTAACATCCTAGCAGGGCAGAGGGGCGACCCTCACATTTCCCACCGTGGGAGCAGCAGAGTAACCCACGAGAGGAAAATGGAAGGAGCTGGTTCCTGCTGCTGTTCATGCTCCATTCCTGAGCCAGGGAGCGATTCTGTGGACTGGGGACCCCTCGGCTCAATCCGTGCCCTCTTCTGCAGTTAGCAGTGCCAATCCCACATTAGCCCCCATCGCCGCTGCTGCTACCGTGCTTCTGAAGTTCTCCCCGACAGCGTCTTTTGCTCTCCCTGTTGGCATCACATACCAAACGGCTCTTTGCTGTTTCAAAAGTCGACACACAGTTTGCAACAGGATAACAGCAGGCCAAAGTTTCTGGGCCCTGAGAATTAGGTGTTTTTTGTCGGAGTCTCTTATTGCCCCCTAAGGTCTAGCAGACACCAACACCTCAAGGCAAGATACACTTGCCTCTTGTGCACCCTCCCACACATGGCCACTAACCCACCCAGAACAGGTCTTGAAACTAGGGATGTATGTGACTAGTCAACTACACAATAAGCCAAGTCACTACTGGATTACTTGCTCCTCCTCCTTGCTGCCTCTGTATCAGGGGCAGCAAAGGGGGAGGGGAGCAGAAGCCAGTGCAGTGGGGGAGCTGGCTTAAAAGCCGTTCCCCCCACTCACCGTCTCCATGGGATGGGCAGGGAAGCCAGAGGCGCGGCAGGGGAAACCGTGAACGGGGACCGAAGCCGTCCCCACTTGCGTGGGCTCCTTACTGCTGCGCTTCTCTCTTTGAAACGTACAAGAGCCACAGACAGCTCTTGTACATTTCAAAGGCGGAGGTGCAGCAGGATAGCAAGCGCCCTCCTAATCGAGTAGCTGATGGAAATTCCATCGACTACTCAATTAGTTGATTCATGGAAATTTAACATCCCTATTTCAACCGACCGGGAGGGCCAGGATAGCAGCTTCAGGTCCTGAGACGGGTCCTTAAAACAAAGTCTGAAATATGCACCTAGAGTTCATGATCTCAGCACTGGGTCTTCTGTTAGATGGAAACTGAGCCGTACACTTGTCTTTTGCACAAAGCCTTTCACAGACCATGTGCGCCAAGCGCCTGGCCGGCTGCACACCAGCAGGGGAGAGCGACTGTCCCACCCAGAGGAGGAAGGAGAGGAATATCTTCTAGCGAGATGGAGTGAAAAGACGGAACGTGCCCGCTCCAGCGGGCAGGGACTGCAGAGGAGAAGGTGCTCGCAAACCACTGGCATTGGGACCGGACAACAGAGAAAACTGACCCCGGCCAAGCCCACGAGGCAAGTCCAAGGAGGGAAACCGGGCTGTGCTCCACACGCGGAGATACTTGAGGACAGTGCTGAGACCGCGCTTCCTGTCGTCACACGAAATATCTCTGACACCCACCCCCAGCTGCCCACTGCGCAGCCTGGGCTTGTCTCTCCCTCTGCGGCATGGCCACCGTTTTAGAGCCATTATTCTTTGGTGCACAGCCCAGAGCACCCGCTCTGGCTCCCACGAGTCCTCGAACTCAAATTCAAACGAGGGCTGGCGCTGGCCAGTTGCAATTCCTGCTCCAGTGGACCGTTCGGTCGGGGAGTTTCCCCCTTCACCCGCCGGCCTCCTACTTCCTAGAGGACACATGTCCGTCCCCAAACCCCCTTTACCAAAATGGGGACTAACTGGTCCCATTCAGGTTTTTGGCCTCTCTGCTGAGCCTGGGACCAGACACTCACCCAGCCTGGGGAAGGGGATTCCCGCTCTACAGACATAAGGAGAAACCCCGTGGCCCAGAGGACTCCCAGGAAATGGGCATGGCTGTAAAAATGTGGATTCTTTTAATTCTCTCCCTTTAAGCCCCACTTGCCTCTTCATTTTCCTCAGCTGCTCTCCTGGACTGCCCTTCCCACCACCGCGTCTTCCTCGCTTCCATCTCCTGTGCATGGAGACACTTTCATTCCCTCCCCTTCCACCTTTCCCTTCCGGCTGCCTCAGTCCTTGCTGCTGGCGGCAGGCCGGGCGAAGCTTTCCTTCACAGCGGCACAAGCCCCTGCCCTCGACTCGCTCCCGCAGGAGATGTGCCACTTTCCTGCTTAGACCCAGGATGGTCCACGTGGTCTGCCAGTCAAATGGAGACCCCAATAATCTGGCTTCAATGACAGGGCCCTGCCGTCAGTAACGCCAGAGCCAGCGGGTTTATTCTCGTGCTATCGCCTCTGCTCGGCAACGCTGGCGTTCTCCCGTCTCCTCCTCCCCCTGACTCTCACGAGCGCGCCCAGGGGCACACGCACAGCCTCAGTAGGGGAGAAGCAGTCACATGGGCGTTTTAAACTCTGCCTGGCCTCTGCGCCGAATGAAAGCTGCTACAGAAGCCAAGAGAAGGCAGAAACCTCAGGTGAGGAGCCTGACTGAAAGAGAACCGCTACCATTTACTGACCGTCTGTGCCACACATCTGCAGTCTTCCTCCCCGGGCCCTTTACTGAGTCCTGCACCCGGACAGCCCAAGAAGCGCGCCTCAGCCTCCAAGGTGGGAGCGTGACTGGACTGTGCCTCCTCGAGAGGGGAGACCTGGCCTGGGAGAGGGAAGCGTTACTCCCGGGATTCTCACGCTGTCATTTCCAAAGTAGCTGGAAAGCCAGAACTTTGGCCTCGGTGACTGAACCTTAAGCTCCTGCCTAAGCCATGGTCCTTCTGCCTAGTGCAGTGCTGGGGGAAGGGACCCTAAGCCGGTCATTCCGCAGCAGCTGGCTTCCAACTTTTTTCCTCATGACCCAGTTGAAGGAAATCGTCGATGCCGCGACCTGACGTCATGTGACTGGAGTGCGGGCTCCAGGGTGGGGCTGGGGATGGAGCTTTAGGGTGCAGGAGGCGTCTTCAGCTTTGGGGTAACAGGGCTGGGGCAGGAGGGGTTTATCTCCAGCGGCCCCCAGTCAGCGGGGGGCTAAGGCAGCTTCCTGCCTCTTCCAGCCCCGCAGACCAGGCTGCCCCCAGACGCCCCCAGCAGCAGGTTCCCAGCCAATGGGAGTGCGGGGCTAGTGCTCGGGGCAGAGGCAGTGTGGGGAGCCCTGTGTGCCCCCACCCCTCCCCGCACCCAGGAGCCAGGCCTGCTGGCGGCCGCTTCTGGGGCACAGCACAGTCTGCGGGGCCAGGCCAGGCAGGGAGCTGCCTTAGCCCCCCCCTGCTCCCCTGATCCCCCTGCAGCCACGAGCCCCAGCGCCCGACACCCCACCCCAGTGCTGGGCCGCGACCCCTAGTCTGAAACCGCTGGCCTTGTGCATTCATGAATGACAGGCACCAGACTGCAACGCCGCACAGAAAACATTCGCTGTCACCCGAGCTGCACGGCACAGTGGCTGTCGAGAGACGCCAGCCTGGAGCGCAGGTGCGGAGGGCGACGGACGATGGCACCCAACAGCCAAACCCTTCTCTGCGTCGCTTCGGAAGCGGGGGGACCACACGCGGCATTGACCTCCGTGGCGCCTTCCTCCTCCCGGGCTGCAAGCGGCCTGCCCAGGGCTTCGTGGCGTATTCGCAAGGCGAGGAGACGTGCTAGACTGTCTGCTTCCACGGACACCAGGGCGCCCTGCCGAGAAGGCAGGTTTCACATCCTCCCGCAGGCAGCCTCCCGGGCGGGCGCTGCTATTTTTAAAAACAGCCGTTTCCCAAAACTGCAGCTTTGCAACATCAATCAAACTTGCCCCGGTGCATGCGAGCGGGGAAGGCACCAGGGCTCCTCCGCCTGCAGCCGGGAGCGGCTGGAACCCGGGCCAGGCAGATAGGCCAGCACAAAAGCCCTTTCTTTGCCCGCGCGGCGGGGTGGGTTTCCAGTCCCTCCTCTTAAAGCAACACCAACTTGCTCGGAGTCGCCCCAAGATGCGTCCGCTTGCTGTCGGCTCTCACGCGGCCTCACAGGGAGGCAACCGCTAGCACGCAGGGCCCAGCCCGTCTCGTTCTAGCGCCATGGAGATGAACTTTGACCTGCACTCAGACTTCACCCCGTGTTTACTTTTTTCAAGAGAACCTGTTCCACGGAGCTGGCAGGACACCCCTCCTCCCCAGCCTCCCCCCACATTCCAGGCTGCTCGGCTTCCACCCCTCTTAATGAGCTGCCCTCCCCAGGCAGATCCCCCCACGCCTCCCCCAGGCACAGAGCTCTGATTGAGAAGCCACATGCCAGGGCCTCGCATGCTCCCTTGTCCGGGCCTCGGCGCCACCTGCATCTTAGAGCGATCCCACAGGGGCAGATTAAAGCACCGGGCTCAGCTCTCGAATGCGATGCAACTGCTGTTGTTAGCCGTCAATGTGCTCTGCTCCGGGAACACACATGTCCGTGGCATGTCACACACATGTCCGTGGCATGTCACACACATGTCCGTGGCATGTCACGCGACTCTGTTGTATCTTGTCACAGGAAGAGTCTCTCAGAGCCACATGGCGATGTCCCAAACTACAGAGCCCTTCTCACAGCCAGCACCTGCCCCGGAGCACGGCCGGACAGGTACCAGCAGCGCTAGCTCCACATGCTGCCCACAGGAGGGGGTCTGACTTCAGAGCCACCCCCTGTGCACACACTACTATGGCATCCACCCCCCCAGGCGGGACACCTGATCGAAACGCAGCAGGTAAAGTTTAATGAGAGATTTAAAAACAGCCGATGCCAAGGCCAGGGAGCCCGCCCCTCCCCGGAGCACTCACCATCCTCCTGGCTGTGCAGGTTCTGAGGGCTCCGCATGCTCTCGTCCTGACTGGGGCTCAAACTGGAGTTCAGATGCTGGTCAGCTGCAATCCATGTGGAGTCGTTCATATCAAAATCCTCGCTGCTCACCGACGTCTCATCCTAAAAGCCAACAGGGACAAGGTCAAATCTGCTTCGGCTTTGAAGCTCCCGACCACAGCCCTTTGGGGGTACGGCAGTTCCCGCTCCCCCAAAGAAACGCGTTCACCTCCTTGACTCTGCAAATAGCCCTTCCCAGCGTGCTCTGGGCTAGGTAGCATTTCCCCTGCGGAGAGACCCAGTCTTCTGCTTCCTGTTTGAAGACGTGCCTGAGGAATGGCACAGCCTGTAACTGAGGACAATTAAAAGAGCTTGCATCCTGTAGGAGCGGATGGCTGAGCCCTGGAGTTTACCCTTTAATCTCCATCGACACGGCGGCGTGTCCGTGGCAGATAAATGGTTGTGCAAGCAGCGCAGGCAGGGTGTGACTTTGTTAAAAGAGCTTTGAAAAGGAGTAGGCTGAACGTTGTATTTCAAAACAAAACACACACCCAAACACCACCAGCCCCACCGCTGGGATGCAGCAGGAAAGGGTTAGGCTAGATCAGCCACTAGAGAAAATCTGCAGAGCAGCTCTGACTTCCATGTAGATAGGCCCTATACTGCAGCAGGGGATTTGCCTGTAGTATGGACTGATCCTAGGGACCTGCAGCCTGCTTTACCGTCTGCTTCACGGGCCCTTGGATCTGCCAGCAGATTCCCAGAACTTTTTGGCAGGCTTGGTCCAGAGACGCCAAAAAGTCCCATTAACACCACAAACGAGATACAAACGGGAACAGAGGAGAATAGTGAGCCCGTGCACGAGCCAGAAACATCTGCAGAACCCCCTGTTTTCGGGGGGCCTCCGCAGGGAGAGATGTCTAACAGCAGAGAAACGCCCACGGAGGTGGGTAAGCCAAGAGGTGACCTAGGGGCTCTTCTATTCTCCGGGACGGGCATGTATGAACCAAGGGGGAAACGCGCCTTGCGATGTGCAGCAGGAGCGAGGCCTGTGGGTTTTAGGACAAATAATGCTTGGCGCGCTAGTTCTGCTGCTCTGAAAACAGCCAGCGCTGAGACGGGAACGCACCCTTCCAGAAGTCATGGATGCCACAGACTTCCCTATGGCATAGATGAAATTCTTCTCTCCCACTCCCTCAGCTGAAAGGACATTCTCTCTTCCTCCTTTGGAACCTGTCCTGTGCTTCACGACACAGCCCTGGGATCGCTTCCACAGCCTAACGGGTCAGCCGCTGAATTTCAAAATCATCCCCATAATGGCAGCAGTGAGATTCTGGATGAAGGGAAGAGCGAAGGAACCCCAGGACCCCAGCAACACGAAGGAAGCACCGACCACACCGGGATGTGTAACCCATTAGCTCTCTCGTCCCTCTGCGTGCCTTTCCTCCACTTCCCTCCCAAAATAAGACAGACTCCATCCAAAGCTGGGGGCTAGAGTGACTACACCCTACGCCGAGCCACTTTCTGCGTTCGCAACTATTGCCTTGTATTTAAAACAACCTTTCCAAGGCTCGTAACCTCTTCATCTCCCGCCAGCATTTGGGCACTAGAAAAAATACCAAACCCCATTCCTCTTCCCTGCCCCAATGACTGCCCCTCCAGCCACCCCCGCTCCGTGCAGAGCTGTTCTGCTTCCAGCAGCCTTTGCTCTTTTTAACTGTGTAAGAACGGGTCTGAGCTTTCTGCCTTCCCTGCCCCTGCAGAGACATCAGCTCATTCAGGGCAGGAATTGCTGGGTTCAGCCGGCTCCCTCCTCCCACCCCACTTCACAGAGTTGGGCCTCAGAGGGAGTTTCCTGGAATTTACAGCTTCTGCACAGCCTCCTCTTGAACACTTGTAAAATCACACACAGGGCAGAGCCACACCAGGAGGCTTCTACTACCCACGCGGGCACTCTCGCACTATCAGTCCACAGGCATGCTCATGCTCACGTGACCGTGCTACAGCATGCAGCTTTCAACCAAGCATGCACACGCTTACGCACCTCTGGCAGCGTGGGCTCCACAAGACACACAGGGTAAATGGATGGGGATTTGTAACGTGGCTTCAACAACGTCTGCGTTCTGTAACGGTCAATATTCTCTCTGAAAAGTTGTATTCCGATACCTTTCGTTTCCTGACTGGCAGTGTACGTTTACACTGCACAAACCAAACCGACCAAGCAAACAAAGCCTGTGACAGTGAACGTCAAAGCTTGGGTCTCTAGACCTAGACAGGCAGCACTCACACGACAGTGTTAAACGTAGCCATGTCCATGTACCGGCTTCTGCTCTGAGACTCACTCCACTTCCTGGGTTTCAGAATCCACACTCCTGCCAGAGCAGGATCATCTACACTGCTACCATCAAGGCTGATTCTCTATAGAGTCTGGTTCTCAGACTCATTGCCATAAGCTGTCCCGCCCCCCCAGTACAGACATCCTCTATATTCTCGTCTTACACAGGGTCTGAGCTGGAGGGGAATTGTCCGCTGCTAACTACATACATATATATATAATTGTAAGCATGTAGGGTGCCCATCACCTGGTATCTGGGCATCCTTACAAAGCTTAGTCTGTCCAAGTAAGATCACTGTCCAAGGTTATCTGCCAAGGTCTCCTGCTGCTCATAGCTCCCCATGTGTCCGGCCTGAACAAGGCCTGGGCTCAGAGTGTATCTTGCAGTACCGAATGAAAATGGCCAGGCCCATGCTTAAGAAAACATCTTTAAGGTGCAAATTCCAGAAGACACAGCCCTGTCTCAGTACCCACAAGCTTACCCATGGGGTGTTGGGTTCTAGGAGGTATGCTCAGCTATACACTTAGGCACACATGTACATAGAGCATCTTTCTAGCAGCCTATCATGTAAAGCTGTATTACATATAAAACCCCCTCAGTATTATATTGGTCTGCTATCTCTTGGGTAGACTAATGCTTTGACTGTCAAGCTACCAACGGATCTAACTGTGAGCGAGTGAAGTCCAGCAAGACTCAGTGCGTGATTAGCAGTCTCTGATATAAACGAGCAGCAAAAAAGAGCAGGCTACTGAGGTGGAACCTGCAGCAGCATGTACCCTCCTCCATTAATTCCATGCTTATCAACTGGGAGAACAAGAGCACTTACACTGAAAGACTCCAGCAATATTAACTTCCTAGCAGCCGGGCCCCATTTCTGCAGCATGCAGCTCTCGCAGCATGTCTTGCTACATGGCAGTAACCCATCGGTGCCACATGTAAACCCGGCCACGAGAACGGTCTCTTGGTAGCACCCAATCAATCCACCACCTCAAGCCAATAGTGTGTAGAGCTCATAACAGCGTCCTACTGCAACCACACACGACGGCTCAAGAAGTTCCTTACTGCAGCACTCAAAAAATGTTACCTACCTGGCAACACAGCCCAGAACCAGGGATGGGAGCTGCAGCCTCTTGCTTTGCTGCCTTGCTAGCACACGTCCTGGCTTTAGCAATTTAAGATGCCCCTTAGCTCTGTCCTGTCACTACGAGCTAGTATTCCAACAGCCACCAGTGCCAACTTCCTCATCAGCGTAGCTTGTCAAAGCAAATAAGACCCTGAGCTCTGTGACTTCCTCACAATGCCCTATCAATGCCAGCAGTGACTCCTGGCAGTGCCCTCCTTATGCCAGCGAAGATTCCAGTGACGTGAGGCCCATCCAAACAATGCCTAACAGCTTCTCCTCTCCAGCTATGGCTCTAAGACTTGCTTACATTTCAGCGTGATGCAAGGGGATCCTTTTTTCAGCACACAAAGGTCTGGTGTCCAACTAATGAAACAAAATATCAGATGGGAAATCCCCCGTGCCCTTAATTGTGCCCTGAATGCCAATCCTGTGAGTGGGCCATGAAGTTGTTTATCAAAACCCCACCAGATGCAGTGAAATCTGTGAACAGCAGCACTAGCTACAATTCAGAGCAAGACGGTAAATATAACCTGCCCTTCCACTCCCTTTCAGCCTGCAAGTCAGGCAGCTCGTTCTTTTCCTCCCTAGATTCTCTGGAGAATTCTCGCTGCTAATTTCTTCTTTCCTGTAAACAAACTTCAAATGAAACTTTCCTTAAAAAAAAAGCACACTCCCTTACCACAGCCCGGCTCCAGATTTGCCTTCTCTTCACCCGTACCATGCCAGTCATGACACAGATGAAAGCCACAGCAGCTGCCCTAATCAGCTAGCACAATCTCTCCCTCTCTCTCTCCCTCCTTCCTAACCTTCCTTCTTCCCTCCCACCCCCTTATCCCTCCCCTTTCCAGCTCTCAGGAGAGATCTCACACTGCAGTAAAGTTCCATCACTTCATTTCTAGAATTCATGGGACTGAATGATTAAGGATCATGAAATATTTGTGCAGCTTCTTTTCCGAAGCAAGAGCCCATGGGTACATTCACAGGTCCACACCCAAATAGCTGAACAAGGACTTCAGGCACAGCAAGCGACTTGGAAAAACACCCCTACCATTCTCTCTCTCAGGTCCAATATTCAGATCCGCTTGGCAGACGGATCTGGTCTACACATGTACTCTAGTTATCAAAAGAAAACACATGTGCAATATTAATAATGCTCTGCACATCTCTAGTATCTTCCATTCAAGAATCTTCAAGCACTTTATAAATGTTAATCAGCATGAAGCCCCATTATTTCTCCCTGAATGAGAGAGACAGTAGCCTTATTTCAGAACTGAAGAAACTGAGTCACCAACAGCTGCAGCGACTTGTGGAAGACCTCAGATTGAGTTGGAGGCAGAACCTAAATCGCAGGACTCCATCTTGTGCTTTAATCACCGGACAGTGATTCCCTCTTGATGAATAATCTTTTCTCTTCAGGACTTCTTAGAGAACAGCCTTCCACACCACAGGCTGCGCCCGAGCGGCGTAGGAAAGCTCTTCTTATAACCAGGCCTTGTAAATATATGCAAGCGATATCAGTAACCTGCTTCTTTTACAGGCAGGCTCAGTTTCTCTGCAACTGGTCTGCAAATGCCTCCAAAGTCAGTTACACCATCTATAGCACCGTTTATTTTCCAGACACTGGGAACTGTAACACTGTGTTGCTTATTTTCTTTTTGAGGTGA